CCCCCCTCCTGCCCCTCTGTCAGTAAGAAGGAACTGAGAGGGCATAGGGCCGGCAGCGCCTGATATACCGACTCATGAGCGCGGGACTCCAGGGGGCGTTACAGCCGACCCTACGGATACCGCTAAGGCAAAAATCTCTGACGACTGTGCACGTGGGAGCGCACACTCCTAGAATGGTATGAACATGAGCAACACATCTCAAAGAACAGGTAGGTAACTGTTTATTCATTGGTTCCACTTTATCCTGAGGCACTAATTTACATATTTGTTTTGTATCATCAGATATCTGTTTTCTTTGTGTTGAAACAGAAAGATTACTTTGGACAGCAGAGAGTGCTTTAATCATTCTTAATAGTCTCTGCTGCAATAGTTTTTTGTAAAGTTTTACTAAACCGGTTTCATTGGATTCCATTTCCTCTGTCTTGCTTCTAATCTCCCCTGTGAAACATTTTATAGACAGACAGCCCTCCATCAATTAACTAAGTCATGTCCCATCATCCCCAAATATCTCATAAATATAAGTGGTAAGTGACTTTTCTTTGCTCTGAATTTATTTATCTAAATATGCATCTCTTCCTGCCCCTCCCCCCAAAGTGGTAAGATGAACTGGTTGGGCCCACTTTTATTTAGACTTGATTTTCATACATTCTGTATTCAAAGTACCCTGAAATTAAAGCCCTTTTGTGGCAGCAGCATCCTGTAGCCCTCTCTCTTTCAGAGCTCTGAATTCTTCACTCTTCCACTGAAAGGATTAACAGGTGAATGGCTAAGGGGATCTACTTTACAGACACTGCAGTTCATTCCTTTTTCTGTTTCATCATTGAAGCTACCTGTTAAAAACCTCTGTATTGGTCATATATAGACCACATCACTTCAGGACATTCAGACCTAGTGCTAAACAGCTTTGTTTTCTTTTATAGCTACTTGCTGTACCAGTAAGTCACACATACCCCAGTACATAACTTTTATCATAGATCTTCTAAAGAAGCAATAGTCCAGTTTACCAGCACATTCAGAAAGCTTCTATTTATGGCTGTGCTTTGCTATCTCCCTACTACCTTACTTAACATGTATTTTCCTTTTGACGTTTCTAAATTGTCTTCCAATGCCAAGAGTTTTTATCCAATCAGGAGTGTGGTTCACAAGTTTTGCTTAGTGACTTGTGATTAGATTTCAATTCTTATACGAACATTCACTCAGTTTTGAAACTGAATTGGAAGTAGACATTCAGACGTAATCTTCCATGTGGAAGAAATTGATAGATGTTAGGCTGTCTGCAGAACTGAGTAGACGGCATAAACGCACAGGTTATATTTAGTTAGGCTTGGCAGAACTCAATTTTTTTTTTTTTTTTTCAATTTCAAGAAGTAATACCAGTTTTAAAATATTTTTTTCCAATTTTGACTATTAGTATTCACAGTTGTGGAAATTATGCTGGGTAGTGTTGGGGTTAGGGTTCAGGCAGTGCTGGTAGCGGAGCTTCTGGGCATGCCCAGCACTGACCGCAGAGCTGCAGGGGGCTCCCTGTACAGCTGAAGGGCCCAAGAGATTGGGGTACAAGGTGCAGAGGAGGCTGTGTCCTGGCCCGGCACAGCAGAGACCCCCTGGCCAGGTCTGCAAGGAGGAGGACGAGCTGTTCAGGTTGCTGCTGAAGGGTTCCTGCCTGGCAACAATGCCACATTCCTTGCTAGAGAGTGGGTGAGCAGGGCCATGACTGCGGAGCTACAGATGGCTCTCTGCGCTGCTGCAGGGCTGATGACTCTCAGTTCCTGCAGCACCAGGTGCACTGGGGAGGCTGCACTCACTCTGACTGTTACCAATGGATATTTTTCGTCCATTTCAGTGTTTCAGCTGAAGTGGACGTTTACAGACATCTACCAATTTACATTGAATCCTGCCAAGCCTATATTTAGTTATCTTCATAACTATAAGAGCTAGACTCATAATTTTTATTGGTTTAGGTATTGATGCACAGGATGAATTCCCCAGAGTAAAGCATCTGCACCTCAAGCTGTTGCAGTCCTGTCCAGCGTGTCTTGCTTTCCTCTTATTAAATATTTTCTATGGGAAGAGTACATTCTATGTAGTGACTCTTAAACAATATATATACTTATCTTGATGGGATTTAGAGAGGTTTGTTCAGTTTTTGGATTGAAGAGAGATTGGATTAATGCAAATCCTTTGAAGACACAGGACTAGGCATCCCACTTTAGGATACAGGATGCCTTGAAAGAGTAGTAATTGGTTACAAAGCCTTATATCTCCAATTTACTGTGGTGAACATGACCTGGGATAATTCTAATGCAATAGTCTTTGTAAAGGTAGTTGGTAGCTTTTAGTTCAATGTCTGGTGGATACATGTACATAATACAAAAGATACTTACTTGACAGACCACCAAGTTTTACTTATTCCACTGGTTTCTCTATCAGTCATGGGTGAGGGCAGTGTGAGGGAACTTTATAATATTCCTTTCTGTTCACTGCATGTTCTGTGGATAGATGACTTCATTCTCCAGGGATCTTAATCTAGAATCTAGCAACGGCACAAAATTCACTTTACAAGTTTTTTATTGGCGTTTATTTACAATTGCATTGCTTTATAAAGGATGAAAATCTTCAGGCCTCAGAGCGCAAAACAGCCACTAATTGATACTTTTAGGAAGAAACTTCTCTTATCGGCAGGTTATACCATTATTGGCAGACAGCGTTTCTTGTGACTTCCTAATCAGGAAAGAGATCTTGGAGTCATCGTAGATAGTTCTCTGAAGACCTCCACACAGTGTGCAGCGGCAGTCAAAAAAGCAAACAGGATGTTAGGAATCATTAAAAAAGGGATAGAGAATAAGACAGAGAATATCTTATTGCCCTTATATAAATCCATGGAAAGCTCACATTTTGAATACTGCGTACAGATGTGGTCTCCTCATCTCAAAAAGATATACTGGCACTAGAAAAGGTTCAGAGAAGGGCAACTATAATGATTAGGGGTTTGGAACAGGAACTCTCCATATGAGGAGAGATTAAAGAGGCTAGGACTTTTCAGCTTGGAAAAGAGAAGACTATGGGGGGATATGATAGAGGTATATAAAATCATGAGTGGCGTGGAGAAAGTGAATAAGGGAAAGTTATTTACTTGTTCCCATAATATAAGAACTAGGGGCCACCAAATGAAATCAATAGGCAGCAGGTTTAAAACAAATAAAAGGAAGTTCTTCTTCACGCAGCGCACAGTCAACCTTTGGAACTCCTTGCCTGAGGAGGTTGTGAAGGCTAGGACTATAACAGGGTTTAAAAGAGAACTAGATAAATTCATGGAGGTTAAGTCCATTAATGGCTATTAGTCAGGATGGGTAAAGAATGGTGTCCCTAGCCTCTGTTCGTCAGAGGGTGGAGCTGGATGGCAGGAGAGAGATCACTTGATCATTACCTGTTAGGTTCACTCCCTCTGGGGCACCTGGCATTGGCCACTGTCAGCAGACAGGATACTGGGCTGGATGGACCTTTATGGCCATTCTTATGTTCTTATGAAAACAGATACTTTGCTACTACACAGTCTAGCCACGTGGCTGAGTATCTAGTTTCAGCAACTGAAACATTAGTGTGGCTTGTTGAAAATATATAAAGCTGCTCCATAATCAGAGCAGCATTATGTACAAGATAATTCTATTAGATTCCAAGCATCATACTTTTTTTCTCTTTTACAGTCTGAGACCCTAGTCACTTTTTACTGATCTCTTTTAGTTTCTGTTTTTGTTTTTTAGTTACACTTCAGAATGTCTAGATGAAAGGTGCTATATGTATGTGTAAAGCAGTCATCTGAATAAACTATATTTAATGTTTGTGCTGTGGAATGCTATATTTGTAATTCAGAACTAAAAACTTCATTTTTTTGTATATATAAAAATGAAAATGTTCACATAGTATATAGCACACTGTTGCTTGAGAAATATTTTCACAACTGTCTGTATAATAATTCGTTTTTGTAGTATTGTAATTATCCATGTAATTGTAGTAATTGCATGTCCAATACTTCTGTGAATTTGAGAATTTTTTTTTTAAAGCTGTGCCATTTTAGTTGGTTTGCTGCAATTTTAGAACTTAATTGCTTTTTTTGGAGACTCTAGAAATCGCTGCTTTTGTTTTTCTTTATTGGAATAGTGAACAGACATACTAAAACACAGCATGTTCTTAGTTAAGTGCACCAAACTGGCTGAATCAGAGTTCTGCAACATTTTTAAAAAATATATTGGAAGGTTCCAGGCATTCAAGTTAAATTAGCATTCACCTCTTTGTTCTAGGGTGGTGTTTTACCCAATTTAGCCCTGTCCTGCATAGAAACATAAAAAATAAATTCAGTCTGTCTGTGGAATGGATCTCCAACTACTAGTGAAATAAAACTTTTTAGCAAAATAAGAAGTCATGTTTTAGAAGTGTTCTAAACAATAAAGGGCAATGTTAAAAAGTCACCTGTAAAGAATTTTATAGTTGGGATGAAGTAAAATATTTTCTGCATCTTAATCATTTTTCAATTCTAAACTTTTCCTGCTAATCAGACCTGTTGTAGATCACTGCTGGGGTTTTGGAATGAGATTTACAGAAATATTTTTATTGTGAAGCCTTCTTCACAGTGTATACTTGTACGAGCTCTTGCCTAATATTTTATATGCATACGCTTACGTTGTGACCTGTGACCAGTCCTGTTGAAATCAATGAGACTATTTGCACAAATAAAGATCTGTAGATTTGGGCCCAAGGACAGAATTACTGTAAACAGTGACTTGGAAAATAAGTGTGAGTACAAATTAATCTTGTCATCTGCTTATAGTGCTCACCAGATTTCATGATTGTGCAGCTTACTATTCTGAACAGCCCTGATGGTCATGCTTCTACTCTGTTCCAGCAAACCTACTTACATCAAAGCAGCTTTGAGGAAAATAAAGGTTCTAGTTTGAGCTATTGTTCTTTTCTAGTTCAGCTCTGTTCTCTTCTTCCCCTGGCAGTAATGGTAACAGCAGTAGCTGGAGCAGTCTTGGTTTAGAAGGAGATATGTATGAGGAGAATTTATCCTTTCCAACATCAGACAGGTTGGTCGAGTCCAAAAATTTAAACAGATAGGTTCCTCATAATTAATGCATGAAATCATCACTTTTGAAGATGAGGGATACAATTAATGTGTTAATCTGATACATTATCAATGTGCTTTTTTCACTTAATCATGACAATGAATTCATACTGAATGGATAAATTCTGCTGTGCTAAAATGCAAATGTCTAATTGCAAAATGAAAAATACCTTTTGTGCATGTTCTGCTTTGCTAGTCTCTAAGTCGTTCATTTGCTTTGTCATGCAAACAAGAGAGCTTGCTTCCTACAGGATTTCTGTTTTGTTTTTTCTTTTGCTTCAGCTTATGAAAACTTTTAAAATTATTTTATAGCGGGGTCTTTAATATGAATAATATAAACTGAAAGAATGCAGTGAACTATTTTGTTTTTTGTAATGAAGCTAAAATAAACTTTCCTGCTTACTCAAAAGTAGCAACATGTTTTTTTCCTTTTTAAAATCCCTTAGAATTTTTTTTCATATTAAGGTAGGATTTCTTTATTAGTTGTTGTTTTTTTTTAAACCTTGGGAACTTGTTAACAAACCCAATTACAACATGAAATGGTGTAAGAAGCAAAGATGCTTTTTCATGGTCATGTTCCTTTTCTCTTTAACACTCATCACTGATTCTTAGGATTGGCTCCATCCATCGTGAATGTATTGGGTATCTGTTAATTCTTTGATATTTTATTTTTAAAATCCAGTGATGGAACAGAAGATAAAGATGAAGACCCCAAGGATGTTGTAGAAGGTAATGATGATTTCAGTACAGGTTGCGATAACTGACTTTTGTAATTTTACATGGGTTAGTTTTAATAATTATTTTGCTTTGGTAGTACACACACAGCAATGTGACAACCCTCTTATACAAGGACGTTTACATAGCACACATCAAGTAAGTGTAAAGGGATATTGTTAATCTAGAACCATTTAGGGTATGTCTACCCTGCATCTCGGAGGGAGCATCCCAGTGTGGCTCCAAAAACTTGCAATAGCGGGGCTTAGCATGCTAAATTAGCTGTGTAGACGTTGCTTTGGTGTTGCTACTCAGGCTGGATCTTGGTGGGCTTGAGAGCCTGAATGACAGCCTGAGTTGCAACATCAAACCATGTCTACACAGCTATTTTTAGCATGCTAGCAAAGCCCTGCTAGTGTGAGTTTGTGGACCCGGACTGGGAGGCTCCCTTCCGGATGCAGTGTAGATATACCTATAAACACTTCCTAATGCCCTTTAAACTATGTTATATGGAAAATATAGGTTACAGTGCTGTTCAGATAATATGTACCTTTATTCACATAAGCCATTGAACTCTGTGTCTAGCTCATTGGAAGTGTAAATTCATGTGTGTCATCGTTCTGTGGAAGATATTAAATACAGATGATTTTAACATTTGCACAAGGACTGTATTGAGTGCACATTGGCCCAGATTCTCTGCTGTGCTGTTTCCTTTTACTGAAGCACAGAATAGGATCTGTCAGGGAATTTGTTACTGCTCATTAATTCTGAGGGTAACTCTGCACTGGCTCCAGTGTAGATGTGAGCTGCCAAAGGATTTTACACCAGCAGAGGATAGCTAGAATACACTGTGCTCTGGGCATGCTCCTTCTCTGTCCCTGAGAAGGGCTACTAGGATGATCAGAAGCATGGAAAACATACTTTGAGAGGAGACTCACGGAGCTTGGCTTGTTTAGCCTAACCAAACGAAGGCTGAGGGGAGATATGACTGCTGTATACATACATACATCAGAGGGATAAATACGAGAGAGGGAGAGGCGTTATTTAAGTTAAGCGCCAATGTTAACATAAGAACAAATGGATATAAACTGCCATCAACAAGTTTAGGCTTGAAATTAGACAAAGGGTTCTAATCATCAGAGGAGTGAAGTTCGGAAACAGCCTTCCAAGGGGAGCAGTAGGACCAAAAAACGCAAGTTTCAAAATTGAGCTTGATAAGTTTATGGAGGGGGTGTTATGATGAGCTTGCCTACAGTGGCATGTGGTCCATCTGTGACTGCTAGTAGCAAATATCCGCAACGGCCAGAGACAGGACACTAAATGGGGAGGGCTCTGAGTTACTACATAGAATTCTTTCCCAGGTGTCTGGCTGGTCAGTCTTGCCGACGTGCTCAGGGTCCAGCTGATGACCATGTCGGGGTTTGAAAGAATTTTGGGTCAGATTGGCAGAGACCCTGCCTTCCTCTGCAGCCTGGGGCACGGATCTTTTGCCGATTTAAGCTAGAATAAATGGTGGATTCTCTGTAACATAAAGTCTTTAAATCATTTTGAGAACTTCAGTAACTCAACCAGAGGATATGGGTCTGTTACAGCAGTAGGTGGGTAAGATTCTGTGATGTGCAGGAGATTAGACTAGATGATCATGTGAGTCTCTTCTGGCCTTAAAATCTATAGGTCTGTGAGCCCGGGGCCAGATGAAGGGGGGGCTTGTGTTAGAGCTGGTTATGACATCTCTGTGCCAGCTGACACTCCCATATATTGGGAAGATGTTTTAGATGGGACCACAAGAAGTTTGCTGACTGACAAGGCCTCTGAAGTGTGAAAGAATAAACCTCTAGTTAACTCTTTCCACTAGGGAGTGAATTTTGCTGCACAACTTCAGTGACTTGATGTGGGGAAACATACTTTCTGATGTGGAATACAACCACAGTCTTTTGAAAAAATAAATTAGTAGATGTTAAGGAAAAGTAAAGAAAGTTTGGCTTGCCATTAAACATCTGCAAGAATCTGAGGGAGATGATTGACTAAATTAATCCTGCTTCTCCTGTCTTTATCTACACAATTATCTTTTTAATAGCTAATACCTTTTGTGTAATGTAATCAAATTGTATTCTGCTCTGTAGGTATACTACAGTGCCTTCAATATTAAATTGTTAGCTTTCCTTGTGTTTCCTACTTGATTGAAAGAGCCTTAAATTGTAGCATCCACCAAGTGGCTTATAAGTAAAACAGTTCTTGATTTTTAACTTTTTACACAATTCCAAAATGTTTTCTAGAGTTTAATATATTACTCTTTTTTATGGAATTTTGTGGTCCATTTTTCTAGTGCAGCTATTTCCATTTTATCGAGTTATCCACTCATCATTCAATGGAGAGAATTGTTTCTTATCATTTTATTGCTTGCTTTCTGGTATCACCCAAAGACCACAATCAGGATTGTGACCCTTTGTGCATGCTGAGCAAACACACAGGTAGGATAACCCCTGCCTTGAAGAACATTAGAGTATGTCACAGTATGGACAGAAAAATACATACTCTGCATTCATTTGGTAGCTAAGTGTGAAACAAATATAATGCAAATTGCATTCAGTTTTCCTAATGTCTGTTCCATCTGTCAGAATTTCTTGTTAATTTATCTGTTTAGCTAAATCAGTTCTAATTGTTCTGTTGTGTGGTTAGACTTTATTATGCTATCAGAGAATGACCACTTGTGAAGAGATCATGATTATCTTGTGAAGAGATCATGATTACACTTTATCTGTCTGGGGATTCGGCCTGCTTTGAGCAGGGGGTTGGACTAGATGACGACCTGAGGTCCCTTCCAACCCTGATATTCTATGATTCTGTGTCAGTCACTAGTTCTGTCTTCTCTAAACTAAGAGATGGGTGAGGTAATATCTTTTGTTGGACCAACTTCTGTGGATGAAAGAGAGAAGCTTTCAAGCTTATGCAGAGCTCTTCTTCTGGTCAGAACTCTGTGTTAGCTCGAAAGCTTGTCTTTCTCACCAACAGAAGTTGGTTCAATAAAAAAAATATCACCTCACCCACTTTCCAATGTGCTGGGGAGTGCTTGACCCCAGACCCCACCCCCACTCCTGTCCTTCCTCCCCCAAGGTCCCCACCTCATCTCTTCCCACCCCTGCTCCACCCCCACCTCTTCCTCGCTCCCCCCTCCCCCCCGAGCCTCCTGCAGGCCGCGAAACAGCTGATTGCAGCGGGTGGAAGGCATGGGGAGGGAGGGGGGGCGCTGATCGGCGGGGCTTGCTGGTGGGCAGGAGGCGCTGAGAGGAGGGGGAAGTTCCAATATGGTGCTCAGCGCCCACCATATTTCCCCATGGCTGCTCCAGCTCCGGAACACCCACAGAGTCGGCACCTATGACCTCACCCACTTTGTCTCTTTAATATCCTATGACCAGCACAGCCGCAACAACACTGCAAACATTCTCTAAGCTAATTTTATTTGAGGTACCTTTCCAGCGATAGGATTTCTGGGTGAAGGTCTTCAATTTCCTCAGTGAATAATTAGCATATGAAACCGAAAAGCATGTAATCACTAGGCAAGTCCATCATATGTAGACATGTTACCACATCATTTTCAATCCATTTAAGTATCAGGGATTTTCTGAAATTAGCATTTTCCTCCTATGACATGTCAAGCTTCCAGGCATATAGCCAAATCATTTCCCCGTTGCCTGCCAAATGTGTACCTACTATTAACTCTTGGTTCCCCCATTGTCAGTTACATTCCTTTCTTTTTATTTTTTCCTCCCAGAGGGCGGGCAGTCCTCTTCATTACAGGATCTCTCTTCCTCCTTGCTGAGCTTTGCCACATTGGTGTGAATTTCAATTAAATTGTGTGCTACAATAGAATTATATAAATTATTCCATGAAAGCCTATAGAAGCTAAACTGATGTAAACTGTGTACTTTAATACAGGCATTTAATACAAAGAGTCGTATATCTGGGAAGAAAGAATGTAAGCCATACTTAGAGGAAGGGGGACTGTATTTTGGAAAGCAGTGACTCCAAAAAGGGGCGCAATGGTCATCACAGATAACCAACTAAATATGAGCTGCCTTTGTGATGCTGTGGCAGAAAGGGCTAACATGATGCTTAGTTGTATTAATAGTGGAACATCAAGCAGGAGTAGGGAGGTGGCTATTGCCTCTCTGTCTAGCATTGGTGAGATGACTTCTGGAATAGTGCGCCTAATTCTGGTACCTATACTTTAAAAAGGATCTTGAAAAGTTGGAGATGACTCAGAAAAGAGTAGAAAGTATGGTTTGAGTTCTGAAAAAATGTGTCTCACAGTGAAATGTTAAAGGAGCTCAGTCAACTTAGTGTTTTGTATAGAAGGTTAAGAGGCAGTTTGATCAGTGTGTAATTTGTACAGAGAGAAGTTATATTATACTAAAGGGCTATTTAATCTAGCAGTTGAGAGTTTAACAACAGCCAGTGTTTGAAAGTTGAAGTTAGCAAATGTCAGACTGGAAGTAAAATGCAGATTTTTAACTATGAGGGCAATTAATCATTCAAACATATTATCAGGGGATATGGTAAATTTTCCATCATTTGGACTCTTTAAAATCAAGATTAGATTTCTTTCTACCTTCAGGTATGCTTTAGTTCAGCCACAGGTTGTGGAGCTAGTGATGCTTTCCCTTCCCCATCCCTACCTATACAGGAGAATAGGACGCTTTCAGACCAGTGTGTTTTCTAATCTCTGCTACTTGATCAAAATATGTTTGTTAAAATGAGAATTAAAAATGAGGTATTTAATATATACATTCTCATTAAATACCTAGTTCACCTGTCTCAAAAGAGTCTGCGGTTGACTTGCAGATTTGATTGTTTGCGTTTTATTTTTAATATTAGGTGTGGGGCAGGTAGGAAAGGCATTGCTAATAGTGAATGTTGACATGGAACCACATATGGTGGACCCCCAGCTGAGAACGACCCTGCAGTGGCTGGCGGCTTCTGAAACAGAGGTGTCTGAGCTTCGTTTTCATGACACTGCTACGAAGGAATTCATTCTCGTGAGTACTGCGGTGTTGCCATGTGATTGCAAAGTGTGATTAGATTTTTTTATAATATTTATTATCTGTTTCTGCTGCATTTGCCAATGAAGTATGAGGTATTCAGAGAAATTACTTAATTATTTTAATCCTTAGAGAGAATGAGAGCCTGTTTGTCTCTGAATATAGCATATACAGAATTCTATCAAGTGCTCAGTTAACCATATATTTTAATGACTTATTTCATTTAAATTTAATCAAAAGCAGATAAAATATAAAAGCTTCCCTTTAACTGAATGGACTGCATTTTCAAGCATTTGTTTCAGTTAGCAAAAAATTGACCCTTGCCATTGCCAAGACCTTATCCATACAAATGAACTTAAATTGCAATTATTTGGTTTATAGCTTTGTGCAATCCCCAGTAGAGCACACCATACTCTCCTGGGACCACACTTCGCTTCCCAATTGTGTAATCATTAATCTCTTCAGCAGAACTCCAAACCCTTAAAGGGATAGGGCAATCGATTTAAGTGACAGGGCTCAGGTAAATATAATCCTGGCATGCCATTATGAGTGCTACACTGGGAGGTAGTGGTCACACAATCCAGAAAGCATCAGAATATGAACTGACTACTGAAACCAGATATTGTATATTGATTGAGCTTCCCAGTACCTTATTTTGAAGTGGGTTGAAATATTTGAATTACCACAGGTAAAAAATTAGAATACTGTAGTAACATGTTGGATGAAATCAAATGGGATAACAATGGGGAGTCAGAGGATATACTGGGGAAATAGAGTGCCTCTCACAGATTTGTAACCTTTTCATGCACCATGTGAGATTTATGCTTGAACTTAACTAACAAACGACGACCAGGTCAGTCTGACCCAATAACACTTATCATCTTCCTATGGTTTGAAACAAGGTAGCATCAGTGTCATTTCTGGATAACTCAGAAAACTGTCATCAGAGGATTGAAGGTTTGGAGGATGAAAGATTTTCTAAAGTGATTCTTAAAATTTCATTTGTTCTGATTCATTTGGGCGTCATTCCTGATATAGTTTCAGTGTGGACAGTTTATCCAGAGCCCCACTTCAGAATCAGGGCATTATTCTTAATTTCAAGGTTTCCTTTAAAAAAACAAACAAAACAAAACAAAAAAACCCTTGATTCCTATGTACAGTTTCTTCATCTGTAAAATGGGAAAATGCTGCTTATCTGGCTTCTCAAGCACTTTATGTAGTACTGCATAAACGCTAGTTGTTGATTATTTATTAACATTATTTCATAGAATCATAGAATGTCAGGGTTGGAAGGGACCTCAGGAGGTCATCTAGTCCAACCCCCTGCTCAAAGCAGGACCTAATCCCCAACTAAATCATTTCTTCCAGATATGATGATTACTTTCCATAAAAACATTTTAACATTCCCAACAAACAATCAGATATATCAACCGGTAAACACCAAGCATATTGGTCCTAATTCTAGGACCTAGAGTAACTCCTTTGATTTCAGTTCTTTCAGTGAATTAAAAACACCAAACTTCCGAACTCTGTGCATTTCACTTCTTTATTTTGTATTTATTCTGTTTGCTGCTTTTGTGCCTATGAACAGGGCCCCATTGTGCTAGGCTCTGTACAGTAGTGGTAGAGTAGTAGTATGCAGTGTAGAAGACAGTTCCTGCCCTGAAGATGATATAATATAAATAAGATTTAAAAGTAAGCAACAGTGTTTTAACCCCACAAGGTCTTTTTATAAAGAATATGATGTAATTGTTTAAATACAGTATTTCGGGGGTGTTGTGGGCATACAAGCTGATTTTTCAAAAATGGGTGCCTAAAATTTCATGCCTCGAAATCCTTATTTAGATACTTCAAGTTACCTACCATTCAGAAGTACACAGCACCGCCCCAACTGGCCATAACTTGAATCCTAATATATAAATAGAAGTACTTCTGAAATAGCTGTCAGGTGAGATGCCACTAAATTGAAATTGACAATCCTTGACACCAAGAGAACAGAGCAACTCCTACTAAAAGATCTTATAAAATCTGAACATCTGACCTATATCCTTCCCCTTTTGGGCTTACTGTCTTGGGGCTTGTCACAGTGAATTTTATACACATCTAGATCAGGCCCTTAACTATTTTAAAAAAGGGAAAAAATAATCAAATTTTTAATTTAATAATCAAATTTGTTTTTTTAATCAAATGATAACTCACTTAATGAAAACAACTCTCATCTCCGTATCATGCACACTTAATAAAGCTACCATATCCCTTTTCTGTAAACCCAACAAAGAATCCATTATTCTTAACACTGGCTACCACTCATCAAATGCAGTAACAGGAAGCTCAAGAGAGTTCTGGAAAATGCACAATTTAAAAAGAAAAAAAACAGTGAGCAATATAAATAGCTTTAATAAAGATGACAGTCATTTATAGAGGGAAAAATAATTAAACTGCTGACTCAAAGGAACAAAACTGGACCTAACTATTATAGGCGTCCTGGTCTCCATCCACCCATTTAAAAATACCTCATTTCTACTTGAGTAAACTGAAATATATAGCTGTACTGATGACAGTAGGAAATAGACCAGTCTGATGAAGAAAGTATGGGCTTGACCTTTGAACCCTGAATTGAAACAATAAGATTTAGAAGAGCCAGATGCCGTCTTTGCATCTTTGTTTTATTATATTTTTACTTTCCCAGTATATGAATTACAAAAACTGATAGTGTTTACAATATATTTACTTAGCCACTAGAAAATAATCCTGTTTAAGAACATCAGGCAAATTTATGTTTGGATTATGACAATTGAGCAGCCTCACTTCTGGAATCTTCATGAAATAGTCTCCAAAGTGGGGTGCGCAAGGGGATCCTTGGGGGTGCACAGCAGGAGGAGCGCTTTTTTTTGCTTTGGCAAAAATGGTAGAGCCGGCGTGGCAGGGGGTGCGTACTCAAAAGATTTTTACTGAAAAAAAGTGAAAAGTCAAAAAATGTGTTATGACTTTTTTGAAATTTTTTCCTTTTTTTTTGGTTGGCCATAACTGTTTTCCAAATTCGACATAATTTGCTAATAGTTTCTGTGCCTCAAAAAATTAAATTTAGTATTTGCCAGTTTTTTAATATTTGCCAAGGTCTACTCTACTCATTTAGACAAGAGTGGTAGATGTGCTATAAATCTATTTCTTTTGTATTTTAACTTCCTCTTGATGTGGAATATTTGTTAGAGAGGGGATTCAAGCTGGACTAACAGCCTTCAGTTACTGAAGACAAGCATGGATGAGCTAAATGTAAAGAAAAACAGTGGGTGCAATGGTGGAAGAAACCAGAATAAAAGGTTGTAAAACTTGAGGCTTGCAAAACATGTTAATTTGTCACTGTCTCACAGTGCTTAGTATATATCTAATATATGAGGATTCCTGGTTCAGACCTCTGAGGGAAAAGTAGTTTCCAACTACACTGGCTCTGCTTGTAAGTGGAAGTTCAACTTATACTTTTTGTTTGTTTTCTTTGGAGACATTGAAATTTCCTAACTGGAGACTGTGTTTCCGTTGAGGGCAGAGTGTATATATACAACCAAACCACAATATATATGTTGTGAAAGGAAAATCCACATCCTTATATTAATCCTTACTTTTGTCTTTTACAGTATTACATGTGTACTATTGGGGGTGGTAGCAAATGTATTAATCTTAAGTTCAGAATTTCCTGTTTTCTGCAACCCCCATCAACCACAGACCACATTGCTGTGGGACCATATCACTTGAAAATGTCACTTCCTTGAGAAGAAATTTTTATGGAAACTAACTTAAAAAAATGTTTGGTCCTTGAGGAAGTTTTGTTTTTATAGCTGTGGAATAATGTTTAACTCTTCACAGCTGGTTTTCTAATAAGACCTGATGTTTCAAGGAGAATTTTCATAACTGTCAATCATTCAAGCTATTTATTTCACTAGCTTAAATATTTTTGTTGTTGTTTCTCTAGCTTTCAAAAAGACTGAGAGAGAGAGACTGGAAAGTGGGAGATCTCTTGCAAGCAGTGCTGAAATACTGTGAAATGATGGAGAAGATGTCTGATGGGGATAGACTTCTGAATAAACCTTTATTTGGCTGGCTTCTGGAAAATGTCTGAAAAATCCAAAGACCCAATATTCTTCCCTTCATTTCTCCTTTAGAAGGAGACATGAAGGACAAAGATGTATAGTGTTAAAATTTAACTGACAAATGGTCTATTAACTGTCAGCATTTTAAGAGACTTTGGGGTGAAAGTAAATATAGCTGTTCTGTAAGTATTTTGTGACACTGTGTACGGTATGTTTATCCAGTGCATATCTTCATAATTGATATCAGGGTATTGTGTCCATCCACGCATATTTGTATATACTGCTGTGTTCAGACTATAGAATGTGTATGAAGAAAGATCTTGTCCATGGACAATAGTTGACAGGTGATAAAACAGGATATACAGGGATTCCCACTGTATTGGTATAGTTGTTTATAATTGGAGGCATACTATATTAATAGCATTATTAAGTTTGAATTGCTAAAGAAACATGTTTCAATTTTACATGCAACCATTTTTATTGCAAATTCTATGTTTTGAAGCATTTTGATATGTTGGTATGACATATTAATGCATTAGAAATAGTAAGTACTTGTTGGAGATTTTCCTCTTGGAATTTTGTCGTCTTTTCAGAAAAACAGTTTCTTATCCCTAATCCTCCACATATAAATGATTTTTGTGTCACAAATTGATCTTCTGAATAAGGACCACTTTAAAATAGTAACTTTTCTTAAAATATAAAGAGAGAAAAGTTTTGTAAATTGGTTGTCATTTTTCTTCAATACCTTTTGCTAAAATTCTTGTTTTAAAGGAAGCCATTCAATCAAGTCTTTTAACAAATGGAACTGTGAGGTTGGTTACTAATGCTGTCTAGTTGTCCTATGGTTGAAGGGTTTGTCTGTGTCTTTACATGCCTATTGGTTTGTAAGTGCTAATAGTTAATCATCTTGTTTTGTTTTACAGACCCTTTAGGAGATAAAGTGCTCCCTGACGAATACCAGGATGCTATCTCAAAAGTGATGTCACTGCAAGAGAATCATGGGGCCTTATCTGTTTTGGGTGGCTGTAGGAATTTAAACAGCCAGCTGACTTTAAAGGACTGTAGCTGTTTAAATCACCAAATTTAGAACCAGATCCTAGGAAGTTGAGAACTTACAATGGAAATTGCATATGCTCAGCAACTCTCACAATTTCATCTTTGGTTACAGATAAAGGTCCATGCATATAGCTGGTGAGCCCACCAGCACTTTCCTTGCAGTGCCATTGTGCTTTGAAAAAGTATGTGAGTGCTCATCTTTTAGCCATTACAGTAATCTATAAAAAGACCACCCCCTGCCAACATTGGAATGTGGTTAAGATAAAGGTCCTTCTTCAAACCAAACTGAAAGATGACTTAACTTTTAAGGGGAGTCCTCTTTTGTGTGTGTGAGAGTGAGTGTGTGTGTGTATGTATGTATGTATGTATTTGTATAATATATATAAAAAAATTGATGTATACAACCTAGACCACTGACACCAGTTTAAATTTCCAGTTTCTTATGTCTGCTCAGGTACTGTTACCTGAGTTTAATTTCATGTTGCTGTATCATCTCATTAATTGAAAAAACAATTGGTGCTTCATGGCAAAATTTAAAAAAAACCTATTTAGAGATAATTTTGTTTCATATGGGCAATTTGGTCTAGTTGATTTAAGTATAGCACAAGGAGACAGTTCTAATCCTAGTTTTGCTTCTGATTTGCTGTGTGCCCTTGCCCAAATTACTTAACTTCTTTGTCTTAAGTCCCCCAGTGTGTATAATGCAAATAATGACAATTGTTTTTTACAGTGCTTTGAAAATATGAAGAATTAAGGTTTGTTGTTTTGTCATCCTCCCCAAGCCCCACCCCCCTCCCTCCCCAAAAAAGATATTTTTCAGGGGCTTGTGTTTTCCTGGTATGTGTGCATGTGCATGGTTGGTTGATTGTCTTTTTTGTTTTTCTTTTCGTTTTTTTTTGAGAACGTTGGCTCTTTCTGCTTAGTCCTCATTTGAAACCAAGCTCCGTTTGTGACCTCTCCCGTTTGCCAGAGCAATCAATAGAATTATCACAAATAGAAAATTGACTTTAAGTGATAAGCAACATGAGCCAAATGAATCTTAAAAACAATTCCACTGTGCCAAATTCTGCTCTGATTTACGCTCTTTGCAATCCCATTAGTGATCTTTCAAGAGTTGAAGGACAGCACAGAATATTGGTGCAAGGTTTCCAAGTCCCCATTAGTGTCCCAAATTAAAACGGATGAGAAATACAAAAAATAATGTAAATACACAACTGTCTGTAAAAAGAACAGTTTTCCAAAAATTTCCATGCAGCATCAACAGATTAACAAATTTGTAGAATATGATGGATTTCTAAAAAGTCGGTTAACAGATTATCACTTTTTTATGAGGTTGGTTTTCTACAAAAGGTAGACAGATGAGCAGGTTCTTTGACATGTATGAAGGTTTAAACAGTAGTTAAGTGGGAAATAGTTCATTTACATTAAAAGATAGTATAACTTTTAAAAAGTGATTCTTGCTTAGAGACTTTGGCCCCAAATATATCCACGGTTTAACTGCATTGACTTAAGTGGTACATCAGGAATGAATTTGACCCATTAGCTTTTTCTCTAAGTAACAATTAGCACAGATTTCAAATATATGTGTATAGGTTTTTGATGGAAAATACTTAATTTTTACTTTAAAGTAGATAATATTTTTACAAATCTTCTTTAAATTTATGTTAAGGCATTGTCATCTGGCGTCAGGACTCTTTCAATTACCAGTTGAATATTAAAAATAGGAGACAAGTTTACTGATAATTTAACTTTCATGCAATTGTCATTAAATAAACAAAACTATAACATTTCGTGGGAATCCTTATCCTGAACAAATCTGATTGACATAATCTGTCCTGTTAATGAGGAAAATTGTCTTCTATTCTAAAGTGAATCAAAGGTTATTCCATAAACTAGTTTATTTAAACCATTCCCTTCAGCGTACAAGTGTAATGAAATGAAAATTCACCGTGAACGAGACAGTGGGCCAAATGATGATCTCTCAAACCAGACCAAATCTGAAGTATCTCCAGGATTTAGACCAGTTTAATAGAGCAGAATTTATCCCATTATGTGTATTGTGTGTATGTATTGGCATACTAAAATTAGGGAAACTTGTTTTGGTTATTCTTTAATTTTAGATTGATAGAAATATATGCAATAGCTACACTGTTCCAGAATACCATTTAGTAACCAAATTATAAATATATCTTTGGTATTTTGAAAATTGGTAATGCTTTGATATATTTTATAAGATTCTGTAGTTAAAGCACGTTAAGAAGGGTCCCTCTATAAAATAGCAGTGAAAATGACAATGTTAAAACAAATATATTTTCTCTTCCAATTTGTAAAACAAGATGCAAACAAAAGCCTTAATATTAGGATTTTTTTAAAGCATTTCTAACAAGCCCATATGGTAAAATGCCATTAGCAAGATCTAGTGTTTCGCTTTCAAAATGAGAACACGAAATAACTCAAGCTTAGGCACTTATTTAAAAGTGATATAAATAGTACATCTATCCTTGGTGCTCTTTGAGCGAAAAAATCACCATTCCGGAACTTATGATGTCTCTCAAAGATGTATCAGATTTTGAATGTTACATTTTTCTAATGTAACTGTATCTATGGGACCTCTTCTGTAAAGAGATGCTCAGACTTGGGAAGGTGGGAACGCAGTAAGTAGTAAACATTGTCACCAGCACAAGAGGAGCTAGTATTTGCATTAGCTACTTACAAAGAATTATATGAAGGAATAAAATATTGGTTTTAGAAATTTGTGGTGTTTTTGGTTTAGTTTAACAATTTCAGATTTTCAGCAAGAGCCACTACTGTCAAACTTATACTGTACTTGAGCTTTGAAGAGGTAGGTACAGTGTCTGACCACTGTAGTCACTTTATTTTGTACCATCTTTGTACATTCCTGTTGTATAGCTGGAGTTGTAGTTCTAGAGGGTCATTGTTCTTTGTAATGTCTGAATAGTATTTAATACCAAACTATATTGTTGTTAGCTGTAACTGCTGCTTATTTGGTTACTTGTGCATTCTTATGATAATTCACAGCCCAGTTTAGTGACTCAATTGTATACCAGAAGCAGAGTGAATAACTTTAAATGTTTATGTAACTATACTAAATGAATACAATATGAAGGTCTTGTACTGTAAAAAAGTGACATCTTTTGCCATTTTAGTAATTTGATAATGTATTCAGTTACCAGATTATGAACTTCAGGTTGCACTAAATTTGTCCTTGTTTTTAGCAGTGGCTTCAAATAAAATAAACACATCTTGTGTGCTTTCAAGAGAACTGTCATTTATTGTAAACTCTTAGAATTTTCTTTTTTTCTTTTCAGCTCTCACAAACTAAGTAGGATTGGTCCTGGTTATGTGAAAGAACTCAAAGGCTGGGACAGTAAATAGCACTAGTGCTAGAGTAGATGGTCTTCTAACTGAGTTAGCACTAAATCGGGTGTCCCAGCAGGATGTTAAAAAACATGGTAGTGCTCTCCTTGGCATGAGAGGTGAAAACCAAGGTTCTGACCACTTGTAGTAAAGATCTCTTGGTCCTTTTTATGAAAGTTAGCGAAGTTAATGCTGGTTTTCTTGCCAAATTCCAAGTTGAGAATTGCATCCTGCCCACCTAAGTCTCCCCTACACTTGTCAGTTCAATACAGTGTTCTTCACTTCCTGTTCTAAACAGTAGTGTAGTGTTGTGTGCTTAGCAGCTCCCTAAAGTGTTGACAATTCAGTGCTGGGTGAAGTGATTCCTGCATAGATTGTGCAGTGTTTGAGGAATCCTTAAGCATGAAAGACTGCTATGGAGTCTTCAGGATTAATGCAAGAAGATATGTGGTAATGAAAATATATGCATATGTATATTGATTAAAAATACTTAACTGATCTGGTGTTCTATGAACTAATTTTGGTTTGCTTAACTTGTCAGATAAGGAATTGCTTTATTGTAAACTACATCAAAGTGACTAGACTGTGCTAAGTTCAAAGACACAATGTGGAGAATGAGTCAAATACTCAAGGAAGAAGTAAATTACATTAACATGTTTGTTGCTATACTAACACATTGAAAACAGTTGTTTTGAGGAGCAAGAAGTTGGGGAGGTTGATTTCACAATTTTTAAAAAAATATAATTTTAGCAAAAAAAAACCCCAAGTGGTCTTTATGGATATTGAGTTGGATATTTTTGTATGTACTTGATAGTTTCATTTGGTAACATTCTTTGCTTCAAGAAATCCATTAGAAGGGAGACTTTTATGCTTTTGATTGTTTCACATTCAACTGAATGGAAATCTCTACTGAATGGCTTGAAAATATATATGCACTCTTGCTACGTTACATGGTAAAAAATAAACAGGACAAAAAGGAAATTTGGTGGGGATGAGTAGGGGAGATATATTCATGATTTGGAGATTTTTCTTGCCTCTAGGAACTTCTTTGTAACAGGTTCTCTCTGATTTCTGCTCAGCTATGTAACTACATCAAGTCAGTCTGGCAATGTCTGTTTAATCCAGACGTACTAAAACTTCTGTTGTCCTCAGTTACTCCATGCCATTCCACTAGCACATACCCTGCTCCCGCTCCTTACACCTCCCTTGTTTCCTTGCTGGCTTCTCCCCCGTCCATAGCTTGAGCTCCCAATGTGACTAACTTCCATGCTGATTACCGTCCTGAGGATCAGATTGAGAGGTGGCCAGGGAAGTGTCATGCTAGGACTGCAGGCTGAGGTTGAAGAACGATGCTCTGACAGCTACCTTGGATATCAAATGCCTGGTAGCCCGTCTCCCTCCCCACCCCACCCCCCATCAAGGCAAGTTGCAAAGTCTATGATCCTCAGAAACAAGGGAACTATCTATGACAAGTGTGAGACCAGTGTGAGTGGTAACAAGAAGCTTCTTAGTGACTGGCCCCTGATCCTGGAGCTCCTTTCCACAACAGTTAAGAAGGACCATGAATCAGGGCCTTCAGGAGAAAATATCAGATCCTTCTCTTCAGCATTGTTTTCAAGAAAAATAATAAAGAGCCTTGTTCTTGTTTGTGGAAAAGGTGGCAGAGATGGGATTATTTGTTTAATCCATGTTTTGGATGTTTATAATTGTATAACTACTGAGATGGATTAGAGTTCTCCTTCTGTCTGTTTCTTATCCCTGTGGTATCTTCTCTCACATCAACTCCTCTATCCACAGCCACACTTCCCAGGCTCACCTTCCAAAAACCCTGTGGCCAGAACACCTCACTTGTCCACAAGGGTACCTCCTTGTTCACACCTACTTCATTTGTGTCATTGTCCCCATCTGATCAGCACTGCTGTCTTCACACTGTTTTTTTCCTGACCGCAGCCTGTTGTCCTGATGTGACTCCCACTCTGCTGATTCTTGGCCGACGGGAGTGGTTAAAAACCAACAACTGGGGAGACTGTTCAGTTGGGAGGGTAAGCCATGGAAGGAGGTCACCTCCCAGAAACCATCAAGCAGCAAAGCAGAAGAAACAACCTAAATTACAGTTTTTCCCCCCCCCCCCCCCCACTTAAAAAAAAAATCTGGTTGTTTAGGTTTGGGATCTGTTTCATTACTGTCAAAACTCTGAAATTTTATGCTGACCAGAAAGCATGGCTAAGTAGCTACAGAAATATAATGTAAATTTAACATACTGTATTGTTTGCACAGACCAAGCATATTTGCTGTGCTGTATGGAAGCTGCTACCCTGCATAGACACAAGACCAGACTCACCCTGCTATTAGCAGTCACAATTCCAGCAAAATCAGTAGAGTTGCTTATATCATCTCAGTTTGGACCATTATGTTTAATAACAAACTGGATATGATTTTTGATTTACTTCTCATTGAAAAAGGGTATGTTTTCACGATTATCACCTCTTCACCTTATGCTGTCAGCAGACATTACAGCCATAGACTCATAGACTTTAAGGTCAGAAGGGACCAATATGGTCATCTAGTCTGACCTCCCGCATGATGCAGGCCACAAAAGCTAACCCCCCCACTTTCCCTTAACTCTGCTGTTGAAGTCTCCAGATTGTGATCTAAAGACTTCAAGTTGCAGAGAATCTTCCAGCTTGCGACCCCTGCCCTATGCTGCGGAGGAAGGCGAAAAACCTCCAGGGCTACTGCCAATCTACCCTGGAGGAAAATTCCTTCCCGACCCCAAATATGGCGATCAGCAGAACCCCGAGCATACAGGCAAGATTCTCTAGCCAGACCCTAATTTTACCAGCGATGGCCGTTATTGCCTAATTGATTAAAATCACGTTATCCCATCAAACCATTCCCTACAAACCATTAGCCAGATTGGTTAACCACACAAAATCAGTCATGCTTTTCCTTCTCCTCCAAGAATGTTAGTGTAATATGAACAGAAATACAGTAAAGGGCTAACTTACCATCTTGTCACCATGGAAACCCTAGATTCACAGGAGATAAATCATTTTTCCTTTGAAGAGTGGAATATAAAAGAAATGACCAAGCAAGAAACTCTCCATGGAAAATAAACTGAGGAAGAAGCTAATTGTAACATAATTGCCTGGGGAAATCACTTCCAGAGACAGAGTAACATTTATTAACTGCTACGTTAAACTGAACTCTTTAAATTTATTCTATTATGTAACATACCCATTAATTATTAAAACTAGTTACTTTGAATTAACATGTAATAAATTAATCTGAGTTTTAAAGGAACTATGCTGTAGCATCTCCATAGCAACAAAAGGGTGCACATTTCAGACACCATTGATTTAGGAGCTAACTGAACTGACATCTCAATTTAAAGTTTAAATCCGGAGAGCAGAAAAAATTTGGTTGCTCTGACATTGGGGTGGGGTGGTTGGAGTAGTGAAAGGGTTAAGCTGGAACATCTTGACTGGCCTCATAAATGTTGGCTTCTTCAGTAAAACCTCTCTCTTCCTGTGACTGCCTGAGAAAATAAAGAGGTGGGTGTTGGAAATTCCCAAAAGAGTCTGGAGGGGCCTCCTTAATGTGATCAAAGAGCTTTTGAGAAGCTGTTTGTAAGGCTTCTTATAGACCTAGCTTTAGAGGAGAACTAAGGATCATTTTTGATTAAAGATACTTTTTTCCTTCTCCTTATACTGTCTTTGAGTGTGCTGTTTAGTGTGCATGCTTACCTTGTAGTTATGGTATGCTTAGGGTTAAACTTGTTTTATATTTTCCCTCAATGTAATAGCTTTCTATAATTATAGAGAACAATAATTTGAGTACGGAAGCATTCCTATGCTAACCACCCACAGAACATGCTGCCCTAATATAGATGAATTGGCAGATAACCCTTAGCCCTCTGTACTCATGTTAACAAAATAAGGGCTGTTTGGTAGCATCATCCTTTTTTAATTTTCTATTTTAAAACCTAAACACCGGATTCCATAATTAAGATGAGGTTTCAATCATCCTACCAAAAATTCATGTATTATCTACTTAATTTAGAGAGCAAGGGCTTTACTCGTTATATTACCCTAATGATCCAGACATCTCAGTTCATTTAAAGGTAGATTAATATCCTCACAAGTGTCCTGTGTTTACAACTCCCATGTGCGAATACACAGTCATGCAATAAATCCAGTATCTGTAGCAGGGTGACTAATCTCCAGGCAATCAAGGGGATAGGTGCTGTGTGTCTCAAGCCTTTCTAAAGGTAGCTGCCATTGGACTGTGCCAGAAAGAACAACTGAAAACCCTGAGATTTTTTCATGGCTACCTTGCACCCCAACATTGCACTTTATGGCTCAGTGTTTCTGTCATTATTGGAAGGAAAGAAAGAAACATAAGTCCAACCTCATTTTTAATTATATTGTAATGGGTTTCCTTTAGCTAGGTTGCAGGCAGGGCTGTGTGGTTTGAGAGAGGTTGGAGGATGTGTGTGTGCGGGGCGGGGAGAGGTGCATACACACAATCAGAATTATATGTTTCATACTACAAAAATGAATCCAGATTACTGGGTAGAAGGAGAGCGAAGTCAGGGTCTGATGGAGGGTTGGAGAGCTGCTTAATTTTCACTATGCCTGAACAACAAGCAGCATTGCCAGCTCTTGCAAGTCCCACAATGTGATGTTTTTCTTTAACCCCCACCTTTTGTAGCCTCACTTTTCTTTTTCTTTTTTTTTTTTAAACGAAATTTCTAGCCATCATGGTTGTGGAGAAAAGCTTGAAAATGTAAACCAAGTGCATATAAAAACCAGATGTGCAAAGAAAGAACACACAATTATTTTTAAAAATCTCATGGCTTTAAAGCCAGTCTTGTGATTTTTTTTTTTTTTTTTTTTTTTTGCTGTCCTGACTCATAATTTTTGAACATGTGGGTTTGGCAATAATAATCCAGCATATCTCTTCCTCCTGGATTTTATACAGTGTCATCTTCATTGTTGTAGCACCCAT